CGGCTTCTTTAGTAGGACAATATTGGCTACCCAATCAGGGAAGTAGCATTGCCGAATGAAACCAACATCTAACAACTTTTTCACCTCGGCGGTTGTCGCCTGGCTTCTTTCTTCACCATGGTTCCTCTTCTTTTGCCTTACCGGCTTCTTTTTGGGATCCACAGCAAGTTTATGGATGGCTAGATCCGGGCTGATGCCTGGCATCTCGTCCACTTCAAAGGCAAAGATGTCTTTGAATTCTTTCAGCAAGTGATGCAAGTCCGCACCAAGTTCAGCAAAAGCAGTCGTCCCAACCTTAACAGTCCGGTCGGGACGGGAGTCATCTAGGACGATGTCCATGTGTTCACCAGTCGGCTGGGGACGGAGTTCATCCGGCCTTTAACCGGTCAATGATTGCTATTGCTTGTCCTCTTTCTCGACCATCATTTGGTTGGCCTTTTTCTTTTTGCCGACTTCTATTGTAGCAGGCGCGGCTTCCTTGACTTGGTCAAGATCGGTTGTTTCTCCAGTGGGGCTGGTTGCGGCCACAGTGGGCTTGACATCAGAGAGGTAGCACTCCCTGGCCATCTTTTGGTCTCTCCGTAGGGAGCCGACTGTTCCATCATCCCTCTTAAACTTGAGAATCATAAGAGAAAGGATGATAACGGCTTTGGATTCATTTAGGGTACGGCGCCCTAAAATCATGTTGTAGGCCGTCAATTCTTCAACAACTAAGAACCAGACCACCATGTGGCGTCCCTCCCTTTTCTCGCCCAGACGAATGGGTAGGTCTATTCGACCTACCGAATGTACCACACCACCCCCAAATCCCACTAAGGGATGAGAGACCTGGTGCATACTTTCGCGCTTGTACCTGAGCTTGGCCGGGCACTTGTGACTGATGAGGTCAGACGAGCTCCCAATGTCAATGAGGATCCGGCCAACTCTTTAGTTAGCTACTTTGCATTCGATGACAATAAGATCATCATGCGGCCTCTTGATTTTGCCCTTGTCCTCCTCAGTGATAACGACTTCGGGAAAGTAGTCCTTGGACGCCTGTCCCTCGTCGACTGAGTTAACATCGAGGCGCCTGACATAGTCTTTATTGCCCCGGATGGTAGGGTCGCCTCTAGCGAAGCCACCTGCTATTGTATAGATCGGAGTTTCATCCGTATCCGAGCTATTAGCAGAGTTGGACTTCTTCTTAGACGGCTGTCTAGGGTTAGTCTGCAAGGTAACCTTGGACCTCAAGATGTAAGACTTGAGGACTCCTTTATCAGCTAGACGGTCTAACAACCGCTTGAGGCTATAACATTCGTTGGTGTCATGGCCAATATCCTCATGGTAGTGGCAGTATTTGTTTTTGTTCCGATTCTTGGCAGAACCCTTCATAGGAGCCGGCTTGTCAATTGAGACCCGGTCCTTAATCTCCATGAGGATGGAGTAGTAGTCCTTATTGAATTCGTACTTTGGGGAGTACGTCTTCACTTCTCTCTTTTTCTTCTGGGACGGCTGTTCAGAGTATTCAGCCACCCAGACTTGTTTTCTTTTCTTTTCTTCTTTCTTAGCCGGCTTGATGGCCGACTTTCTATCTTGTCGGACCTCTTTATGTCCGACTGCTTACTGATGTTGCAGAGCTCGGTCGCCTGTATATAGGCGTCCGCTTCCATCAGTGCCTCTAGGAGGGTAGTCACCCTCTTTCTGACGAGGTCGAACTTGAAAGCCAAACCGTCCTTCAGACCTTTTAAAAAGTCTGTGTAAGCTACCTCATCAGACAACCCTTGAATCTGAATTTTCATCAGATTGAAGCGCCTGATATATGAGCGCAGCCCCTCCTTCTCTCCCTGCTGTATGGCACCCAAATTAAGACTTGTCTTCTTTGCAGGGATATTCATTTAGAAGTTTGATGCGAACAAGTATGCCAGCGTCTTGTAGTTATTGATGCATCCGGCTAGCAGGTTGCCAAACCATTGCTGGGTTACGCCCTTCAATGTGGTCGGGAAGCATCTACACCAAGTAGCATCATCTAACCCTTGTAGATACATAAGGTTAGTGTATGCCATCAGGTGGTCTTCTGGATTGGAGGTACCATCATAACTGTCTACCAACACATTCGTCACCTTGGCCGGCTGTGCGGCCTCAGTTATTTCCTTGGAGAAAGTTGAAGGTTGTTCCTCAAGTTTGAGCAGTTGGAGCTGCCAATCTAAAGGCTGGATATTGGGTGCCGTCTGTCCCCTGAAGAGGGTGGGCTGCATGTAATGTGGTCCATACGGCATGTATGGTTGTTGAGGCACATACGGGGCCGCCTGGAACATCTGAGGACTAGAATGGGCAGACATGCCGCCTGTCTGGTCTTCATGGTTTGAATGAGAATACCTCAGCGAGGCATTTTGAAAACTGTCATTGAAGTTTGACGTGGAGGCCGACTCTGACAGTTGCATATTCTTCTTTTGCTGGATCATCTGAGCATCGGAATATGTTTTCTTGGAACCATCCGGCTGTATATGCCGGATGGCCTTCCTCTGCCCTGGCTCGGGGAACCGCAGTCCAGCCAGGTTTATCAAAGGCTTACGTCCCTCTCCTGGTTTAGGGTAAGGAGTGGCCTCTCGGTCTTTGACCGACTTCTTCCTCCCAGAATAAGAGGGTTTCTTGGCCGACTCTTCCTTGGTAGGAACAGCCGTCCGTTTATCAATAAGGTCCTTTATCTCCCCTTTGAAACTTGTCATGAGGGTCATGAACTCGTTTCTAGTGATGGGGGTGGATCCTTCAGCCATCTGAGGCTGACCTGTCGACTGGCCGACTATTTCACTGGGGCCTGCCTGGTCAGTGTTTTGTTCCCTCCTTTCGGTGGGACGGATGCGCCATGTCCTGAGGGACCCGTCAGGGGTCGTATGGGTGGCGACTTCATAGTCGTCATCCGTATCTTGGTTTGAGAAGACCTGGACGTCAGCCGTAGGCTGTTTCTCATTAAGAGGTTGTACAGGTTCTTGTGAAGTCATCTTTGAAGTACTCTCCCCACAGAAGGCGCCAAATGTTTCGGGGTTTTTTTTTATGTCCTTCGGGAGAGTTACAATTCCAAGACTGACCTCTGAACGCCTGTACCTGCAAAATAACGAAGAATCCGGTGGGTGGGAGCTCTGCCTCCGACGATCAAGTTAGAATGTATTTGAGGAGTAAAGTGCGGAAAGTAAAGGGTCTCTCTCGGATTCCAAGAGAGGATCTGCAATGTATAATTGCTCGGTTTGAGGTGTCAGGTGACTGACTTTCTCTGATGGAGAGTTAATGTGTATGGATTTTTCTGAATTATCATTTCTCAGAGGGAAACATCTCCCTTTTAAAGGGTGTTGGAAAACGTGCCCAATACTAGGTTTTAGTAAACCTAGGGCTGATTGGGTTTTGCCTGGAACTTTGGGCCGTAGGAGGCCACTTGCTCAGTTGGCAATTCTGCCTGCCACGTGTCGTGACCTGATTGGTCCACCTTGGACCTTTCACGTAGCGGACTCTAATTGGTCCACATGGATGACATGTGGTAGGATATCATTGGTCCACGTGGCGAGATAAAATCCCAAATCAAGTGGGATTAGATATTAACTTGGCCTAAAACTACTTTTCCTTTCTTATAAAAGGATTGAGTAGTTACGTAGGTTTTCTTAGATTAGCTTTCCTTTAGTTTAGTTTTTACTTATGAGTTATGTCAGACCTTTAGTTCTGTTCTTATTTTCTTTGTTTTTATTTTGTTTAGTTTAGTATTCGTTAACTTTAGTTTTTAGTTTTATTTTATTGTTTTTATTTTAGCTTTCATTATTATTGTTTTTATTTAGTTTTATAATTATTATTTTAATTATGCTTAATTTAATTGAGTTTAGATTTAATTATATACGAGTAGTTTAATTCTAGAGTTCTTGGGGATCCATGATTAATATGAAGGGATGATTTATTATTGTTGATTGTTAATGTTTTGGGTTATTTTCCTATTGATTGTTATAATGCTATGCAATTAGATTTGCGCAGGTTTAACTGTATGAGTTACGCAATATTGATTCGAAATTCGACAAATGAGAATTGATATTAAGGCTTACTTTCAATAGGCAGGTTAATTTATAAATGGCTAAGTCAAGATTCGATAGATGCGATTTAATACCGATAGGTTAATTCTGTGATTATAATACGTAGTTAAAGCCCTTTATAATCTGGTTAATTTATGCATTGATAATTGATTGTTATGTTTTATTTCGGAGTTTTAATTATTAGTGAACCTGTGACCCTAGGCCTTTTATTATTTATTGTTCCCTTAGTTTAATTATTGTCGTAGTATATTTCTCACAAAGATACTCGTTTCTTGATAATTTCGATCATAATAATTTATTAAAAATAAAAAAACTTTGTTTCCCTGTGGATTTGAGCTTACTTCCCTAAATCATGAGCATAGTCAATTGTACAAATTCAAGTTTCTTTTCAAAAAGACCTGCAAGGAACATCAATAAAAGACAAGTAATTAAAGACAAGTTTGCAAGAGTTTAGAAGGGAAATTACGATGACAATGAGAAGATATTATTAAAAAAAGGCAATCCTCGCAACAAGAAAGTGAAATACAAAGTCAGCATAAGCCCCCATAACTTGAAGAAAACAAAATACCTATATTCCTTTTAGGATATGTAATTATTTTCAAACTTATTCCTTAATAAATGTGCACTTTTAAACCCCTTACTACTTTGTTCAAAGACAAATTTGGCTTTTAATATAAACTGGTGGGTACTCTTAAGAGAAAATAAAGTCGTGATCCAATTACTTACCAATAACCTGTCAAACTTTGCCACAATTAGATAAGCAAGTTTCAGCTGAACAAGACAGATGGGAACTTCATCAGCTAAAACATTGACAAAAGCCCATGGTAAAGACAAATCATGCTACAAATGAATCGATAAAAATGTTGACCAAAAGAAGGGTTGCACAATGGTCAACAACTCAACATATGAATGTAATGAAACAGCATAACAAATACATTTACACAGTAGAGCATATTAAAGCAAGGGGTTGTACCTTGATTTTCAGGAACAGGGTTTATACAAGTAGCTGCTTTAGGAAGCAAGTCTCTTTGGTGGGTTTAGCCCACTACTCTCCTAGGATACTCTCTCTCAACAATTGCCTACCTTAATCTCTCATCCTTCTTTCTTATAAATACATAAGTAGCAAAAACGTTTTGGTGGTTGTCCTTATCTTCTTGAACAACTAGTAATTAGAGTTGCCCTGGTCTTGTTTTGCACTCCTGACCTGCTAGTGTGATGGTGCCATGGTATCGGCCTTCCTTCTTTCTTTTTCTGACATGTGACGATCACAGGAGACTTGGCTTGGCTGGTCTGGTTCATTACAATGCAATGGGTAAATCTCACTATACTTATAAATTTTTTAGCAAAATAGGTCAGAAAAATTGTCAGAAGTTACAAATTGGCAAATGCATAGGTGAACAGGAAGCAACCACCATGCTAAAAAAATAAATAAATAAATAAATTGCTACACGGAGAAATTCAATGAAAGCTCCAAAACCAAGACATGTAAGCCCAATTATTTTTAATTACAAGGTTGAAAAAATCTTTAAGAGGACCTGTAATGATTCTAATATTGAGAAGCCAACTCAATAAATCAATACACTGGCCATACTTTCTCAGTAGGTAATAATTAACACTTTCTCATGTTAATTATCTAGTTATGTTTCATACTTAAATCTTAGACATATTCAAACAGAGATAGAGATAAAAGATTGCAGGATCAAAGGAGACAAAATTATGCACAACATATATTTGCATCTCCACTGATTCTCTATTCTCCTATCATACTACCTAAAATGAAAAAAGAGTTCTTAGGCGGGGGCAGGATACGAACCTGCAATCTTCAGGGAATGAGCCTAATGAGTCTTCCAATTACTCTACCCCACTTCTTCTCTTTCTTTCACTATTCTCACCTAGGTCCCCGGCTTTGGTTGCTTGACCGGATTTCCAAGATTTAAATCAAATTCCTTAATAAATACGAGTAGCATACTTACCATTTTAGAGAGGTTGTGCTTATTATGTAATCAGCTAAAGAATCTCAGCAGGCTAGAATAGGTCACCATTCTGCACTTCCCACAACAAATCACAGACATCCTTTGAGTCTAGCCCCTCAAAAACACCATCAGATGCAGTTATAAGATATTTGTCATTGTCATTCAGGACTTGCCAACCTGTAATCTATGGAGCAGCTATATCACCATACCTGAAACCAATGGGAAACAAATACATAACCATTTAACAAATTTTTAGGGAAATATGAAAAAAATTTAATGCACACTTGCACAGGACACACATTTATTATTGAACATTTGAAATAAATACACACTGAAGTACTCAACCAAAACTTATAACAAGAAACTTCTAAATGTCACAGTGAAGACGAGTGAACAAAGTCCCCCTCCCTCCCCCACTACACACACAGAGTTCATCAAAGAGACAATGGCACAATGCTACAGAACACAGTTTTCTTTATAACCTTTTGAAAGGCACATCACCAAGAACTACCAAGACACACATTAATATGAGGAGTTCCATTCCACTCAATAGTATAACCACCAGCATTTTCAACTTGGGACTTCTTATCATCCCTCCCTGGCCGATGATCCCTAGTCAATTCTTTCACAACCAAAAGCTTTAGTCCCTTAGAAGCCACCATTTAACAGATTTCACAGTCTTTAATCACAGTACAACACCATCACGTTTTTTCTGCCTATATATCCTCAAAGCAGTGGCTGCAATGTTTTCAACAAGCTAGAACTTTAGCATAAGGTCAAAGTAAAACACAATAAACCGTAAGGACACTACCCCTTGCATGTAATATAAAATAAAAAACCAATGGGTTAAATGAGATAGTATACATTCTACTTCCTCCATTCCCCTAATATTGCAACAAGGGGGCAAGATACGGAATTTAAGATGAGGACAGAGATGGAGAGCAAGTTTGTGCACATAAGGTAATGCATGGTAATGTTGCACTATTTGTGAAATCTTATAAAATGGTAATTGTTGCATTATTAGGGGAACAGAGGAAGTATCTCATTTTTATGACCATTCCCAAAGAAAGAATGCCATCAGAAAAGATATTGTTGTTACCTTTAGCATCACCAGGGGCTGATATTGTCATATCTATAATTCTCAAATACCACCATGAGACCTTGCTATGCATCAATCTACTAAGATTCAAATTTTAATAATCTGCACACATCATGCCCATGGATAACCTAAAGAACATAATTCAGCCTACCAATCTAACTATTCGGATATATAAATTGCAAAGAAAACAGGAAAAGAAAAAAATTAAAGCAAAATTGACAATACTTAGAAAATAGAATATGCTGATAATGTCACTTACACACCTGGAAAACTACTCATATCTTTAACAATGTTTCCAAGTACAAACCAGATAAAATTCATCTTCACCACCAAGTAAGTTTCAACCCAAAATATGAGATAAGTCAAGTTCTATCATCATTGCTCTTTATGGCTTTATGCACAACACCTAGGATAAATCTCGTGTACATAATTTCCCTTTCTAGTTATCCATACTCCATAATAATTTAAATTAAAAATGTAATACAAGTAACATCAATTGGGTTGACTTCTATCTCCCAATAGCTCGGAACCTCTAATATTAATAACTTCATAGCTCAAATTCAACTCGGAAAGCAACCCCATAATTACCAGCCAACAATTCAACCCAAAATTCCCATTCAAAAGACTCAAACCCGAGACCCAAGAAATCAACTCACCCACCTCCTTTTTTCTCAACTTTATCTTTCTATCAACAATCCGTGCCGACCCAAACGGGCCATAACACTTCCCCTTGGAAAATTGCCCACACTTCTCCTTCGAATCTTGAAGACAAGCAGCCATTTCTCTCTCCTCACACTCGTTTCTCTCTTTGAAATCGATTTTACCGAAAAGGGTCTTCCACCATGGAGTTTCACAGTTGTTTGATGCGTGGAGCACCTGATTCGTACCCCTCTTCACACTGCTCTAGAAGCTTCGACTGGCAGAATTTGAGCGAAGAGAAGAAGGATTGTGGGTTTTAAATTAGGAAAATAATAATAATAATAATAATAATAATAATAATAATAAGATAAAATGTACAAGAAATACATCAAATTGTTAGGAATTTAAATTAGGAAAATAAGTCAACCTTTCCTCGGTTTGCTCAAAACAAGTCAACCTTTCAGTTAACTCTAAATGAGATAACCTTTATAGGATATCTACTTTAAATAGGTCAAGTGACATGAAAATGAAACCTGCTAAACAAGTCATTTTTTAATTGAAATATTTCATTAATTTTTTTACAATGTATTAAATATAATTATATGAAGTAAAAAAAGTCCAACCATCTTCCCCCTTAAGCCCACCGGTGACTAGGGACCACAACCTATCCTCGGCGCCAGCACCGACGACCTGTCCCCCACCCCACCCCTTCATTTCCCCATTCCGACACCACCCCCTCCCCTTCTCCCCATGGCGGAAATGGCTCCCCTCCCCCGTCCCCCTGCCGGAAACGGCTCCCTTCCACTGTCCCCCATCATTAGTCGACCCCTCCTTCCCCTTCCCCACCGTGAGTCGACCCCCCAACCCTTAAACCCACCTGAACGAAACCCTAACTGGAATCGAGAATGGGTTTCAGGGGGGTCAACTCACGATGGAATAGGGGAAGGGAGCCATTTTCGGCAGGGGGACTGGTGAGGGGAGTCGTTTTCAGCAGGGGAGAAGGGGAGGGGTGATGTTGGGGTGGGGAATCGGGAATGGGGAAAGGAAGGGGTGGGGTGGGGGCGTCGTGGGTGGGGGATGGGTCGTCGATGCCGACTTCGGAGATAGGTTGTGGGCGCCTGGAAGGGGGAGGGGGAGAGGGAGGGGGCTGGGATTTTTTTTTTCTTTTTTTTTTTAATATTTCATAGAATAGTAGTAGTAGTAGTACTATAATTATGCTGGAGAGCCAAATCGCCGAATGTCACCCCGAGTTTTTCCAATCCTCAAAAATAAGAACAAATAAAAACTTCTCAAATCCACCCAAAATTGTGCAAATTATGTGCACATTACAACTCCCTCACCTCACTCACTATTAGCTCCCCCAAGCCAAGCTTGGGACTAGTAAACAATGGGGCAACTATCGGCTTGTAATGTGGCTAAATAAACAATAAAAGGAAACAAGCAACAACATGGGTAGCAAGAAAGGAACAAATGTATCTAAAATCGTCTGAAGGCCACCTAAAAGAACAAATGCCTTTGTCCTCCTCAATGTGCATAATAACGAGTCATACAAACATTACTTAAAGTTATAAACCAATACTCAACTTCATTGACATACCAGGAACTAACACACATTCCTAACCAAATAAACTAGTCAAGCACTATATTCACAAGTAGTTGGGCAAAATTGACTCATGTTAAGTCATCCAAGCAATCAAACATCAAATCATGGCTAACCTATCCACAATACTCACCATCATATACCAAGAATCAAAACAATTTTCATGTATGGGGCACAGGGAAGCATGATTTATCATTCATTAGATCGTATTTTTGCTTTTTTCAAACCAATAAAATCTAACCTAGAAAGCAATAAAACTAAACTATACACACAAAAACAAAAAGAGAGAGAGAATAAAGATACCTCAATCCAAAAATCTCCCCCAAGCCAAAATCAGACAATGTCCTCATTGACTCGGGAATTAGCCCAGCATGGCTAATCATCACCATCCTCATCCATCGCACCTCCCCCACTACCACCTGCACCACCAGAAGTACTAGAACCAAAATAGTTAGGGTTAACATTCCCCCCATCCCCCCAAAAGGAAAGTCTCGGCCATAGCAAGCAGATGCGGAATAGTCAGTGTAAATGTCATGTGAGGTGGGATCCACATATCCCTGGGGTGGTGGCTGGTACCAGTAGGAGTAAACAACATCGTCGGGGATAGCACCTCGACAAGCATAGTCATCATACATGGGAAAAAGGGCCTTACCCTGGTTCCTCTCAATGTATCCTAACCTCTAATCAAGAGAGCTCACCATCCTCCTAAGGTCTCCCTGGGCCTGGTCTACGCGACCTATGGCCTGAAGGTCCCAAATGGTCTCGGGGTCTGGCTGGTGTGGGGGTGGCTGAGGCACAAGGGGTGGTGGTGCCTCAAAGTGTGGTTGTGGTGGTGATGGGACACACGGTCGAGGCTGTGCCAGGCCCTAGGCATGGGCAAGTAGAATATCATAAGTGTAAGACTCTTGCTCAGGGGGAAAGACTGTCAGCTCGGGGTTAGGAAGAGGGAAAACGGGTGTGTAATCCTTCCCTACCCTGACAAGCCACTCTAGAACATTGCTACGGTTGGGCTTAACCCAGTTCAAAAATTGAAAGTACGGCAAGTTCATAAGTGTATCCCCCCCCCCACAGTTGGTCTATCCCTCATATCAAGACTCACTAAACCCCGCCTTCTTAATCGCTATCCTAGTGATTAGGCCGCCACAATGGATAGGGGTCTTGGCATTGTTACTACAGGCATTGGCGTGCCTACTCAAATGGGTAATAATATACCGAGCAATGTTCAATTTCCCGTACCCATACACATAGTGACCTAGGATAGCTAGCTCGTTGGTTTGGGCGTTGTGGGGTTCATGATGAGCTAGAAAACAAGTCCCCGAAAACCTTTGGAAGATTTTAGGGACGGGGTGGCGGAAAGGAAGGGCGCTAGCATGTTGTGAATTCGGGCAAGGTTTGCCCGATAAAGCAAGATATATATCATCGGCCTTATAGTCTTCATGCCATTGAGTAGTGGGGTGGGGATCAAGATCAAACAATTTGGCAAATTCAACATATGTTAAACTAATATTCCTATTGTTCAACCTAAAATGCATAATTGGTCCATTATTTGTTTGAACAACATTTGAAGATGACAAAAATTCACACATAATTTCACGATAAGTCGGATAATACATATCAACAAATTTTCGCATTCCGATGTCGTTTATAAACCTCCTAACATGTTCAAACAATCCCAAAGTTTCAAGAGTATCTCGGTGTAACCACCGAGAGGGAGTTACCTCACGTTCGTATAGGTTGATGAGACGTTGACGTTGCGTTGAGGTTGTAATCCTAATCGTTGGCCATTGTTCTAGTTGCAAATTCGGGTCATATGAAGTACTCGACCCCGAACCACGGCCACTTTGACTCCTTGCCCTCTTTGTGGTCATCTTGAATATGGGTCGTCAAATAACTTTGCTCAAAATCGAACCAAATTGGTATAGGGATGTAGAGAATGAAGAGAGGAGTAAGAGGATGTAAAAAATTTTGATTTTGGCTTAGAATTGGAGGAGAGATCTAAGAGAGAAGATAGAGAAAATTGAGGTTTTTAGAGAGAAAAACAATGGTGGAAAGAGAAAGAATGAAGAAAGAAAGAAGAAGAAAGGATAAAGAAGAGAGAGAAAAGTGTCGGAGTCCGTGGAAAATAGGCGTGCCCGTTCGGGCGGCCTTTCGCCCGGTCGGGCGAAATGTACTCTTCGTATTTGCTTCCTCTCGCGCCCGGTCGGGCGCCATTTCGCCCGGTCGGGCGATTTTGAATCCTTTCTGCTCATTTTCCTCACGCCCGGTCGGGCGAAAATGCAGCTCAAAATTAACTTCTTCTTGCGCCCGGTTGGGCGATTTATAGACCACAATCATTCTTTCTCTCGCGCCCGGTCGGGCGAGATTCAGGTGTCAAGTTTGCTTCCTCTCGCGCCCGGTCGGGCGCGCCATAGAATTGTGAGTCCAAATTTTTTTCTTTTTCTCTTCAAAATTAGGCTAACTCTTTTTCTCCAACCTGTACACAATACTCTAAAACACATTAAATTCCCTCCTCTCTTCCTCTTAAAAGATAAAAATAAGGGAAAAACTATTCTAAAAAACAAGAAAGTACGGGTTGCCACGAAAAAATGTAAGAAAAAGTAAGATCCACTCATAACGCTTCGAACCCAACCAATACCCATTCGAACTCCTTTTACTTGTAGATAAGGGGGAGTAATTTATTAGCAGCATACTCAATCAATCGGGTGATCTTTTCCCCTACTACGAATCCCATACTGCCTCCCATAAACTGAAAATCCATAACACCAATTGCTACATGAATACCGTTTAGTTGACCTATACCTGTTTGAACAGCTTCAGTTAAACCTGTATTTATTTGATAAGAATCAATACGATCTTTATAAGCTTCCTCCTCCGAATGAAATTCGATAGGATCCATAAAGACCATACCTTCTTCCATAGGATTCCAAGTACCAGGATCAATCAGAAGTTCGATTCTATCTGTGCAGAAGCTACAAAATGGGAGTTTGCTAGAATATAGAATAAAGATATACACATAAGAACCAATCCTAATGAAAAGGCCAAAAAAATTGGATTGGTAAGCGCTGGTTTATCTAGGTCCTGCACGACCATCTTGAAAGGAATGGTGTCCTTCCAACAAGTGTATTCTTCCGATAGAGGGTTCAGAATTATTACAAAGTTAATTCTTCAGTAAGATCAAGTGATCGGAATGCCTAGGTGGAGGCCGCTTCCGATCAGTAATATCAAGGTACAATTGATATTACAGCTTAATCTTAACGGGTCGAACCCAATCGAATCACCGATCCGAGACGACGAATTAATCCGAAAGGATTTAATGAGTCGATAGAGTTTTACGAATACAGACATCGGATATCGATCCTAGGGCGTCGAGGCCGAGCGTCGCAAAATCACAAGCGACAAGTACGAGCGTAGCCGTAGCACCACAATGGTCTAACCATGTGGATGCTAGGCTAGTTCGAGCTAGCTAGCATGCACCTCGCAAGCACTAGGCGCACCAGGAGCACCTGGCAGCCTATCGCAAGCACTAGGCGCACCAGGAGCACCTGGCAGCTTGTCGCAAGCACTAGGCGCACCAGGAGCACCCGGCAGCCCATCGCAAGCACCAGGCGCACCATCGCTGGCACTAGGTGCTGGCGTGCGTGCGTGCCTAGCATGGCAGCACCATCGCTAGCACCAAGTACTAGCATGGGTGCTTGCCTAGCATCGAAGCACATGCGTGCTGGCTTGCGTGCTAGCCTTCGCATGGCAGCACCAAGCAGCACACCATGCGTGTGCGAGTGCCTGGGCGCTAGCACATTGCTAGGCCACGCACAGCAGCCCAGCATCGCTACACACCCAGCCTGCTAGGGGATGCGTGGTGCGAGGCTGGTGAGTGTGTGCGAGGCTGATGCGTGGTGCGAGGCAGGTGCGTATGGTACGAGGCATGTGCGTGTGCGAGAGGTGCAGCGAGGCAGATGCGTGTGGTGCGTGGGATGTGCATTGCTAGCTAGTGCGTGGGCTGCTGGGGCCAGTGCCAGCACGTTGTGCTAGCAGCGCTAGGCGCTAGCACAAAGCACCAACACCATCACAGCCCAGCACCAGCACGCACTGGCTAGCTGGGATGCTGGGCAGCAAGGCAGTGCTAGCTGGCAGCCAGCCAGCCCTCCTTGACCCGATTTTGTGCTTGCTTGTGGGGACCAAATCAAGGGCCTTGGGGAGCAAGGCAAATGGTCCCCCCACCTAGCCTTGGCCATCACTCAAGCATGTGATTGTGCCACTTGTCGCAATGTGATTAAGTTGATTATTTATTTAATTTGGAATTAAATAAATTGTTGATGTTACCAACTCTCCCACATTGATGGGAGATTGGAAATCAAGGGTGCTCTTCCCTATAAATACCAAAGGCATGGGTATTGGGAAGACACAACCTTGAGTGGAATTAAAAAGGCAACTCTTGTAATTAGAGTAAACCTTTGATTCGTAAAACTCATAGTTTTGTTTGTCCGGGTCTTGACTAACCTTCAAGACTTGGGACGCTCGGGTCGGGTCGAGGGTACGATCCGTCGGAGATCTCGTAGTTTCGGGATTTTGAAGTAAGAGCTCTTCGGGAGCGAAGCACGCAACAAAGGTATAATTCTTGTTCTTAGTCTTGCTTGATTAAGTTTATTATGCTTGTTAATTGCTTTAATTAAGGGGCGGGTCTTGGGGGGTTTCCTTCCGCGTAGTGTCTGGTCACTACGAAACCCTACAGCGGTATCGGAGCCATGCTCCTTTTAATTTTTGCAATTACTTATTAATTAAGGTGTTTTAAAAGAATTTGTTTTTTTCTGGTTCATGTTCTTCTAATTAGATTAGATGCTCGTTTTAATTAATTTTAAAACTCGGTATTATTCTCGATTTGGCTGTCGAACCCAGATTTTGGCTCAAAAATAGTGATTTTTGGGTGAAATCAACATTTTGGAACAGATTCAAATCTTCGAGGGCTGTCCAGAAGCCAAATTCGAACCAGAAACCCATTTTTTCTGGGGTTTTTCGTTTTTCAACGAAAATTTTAATTCTTTTTATGCCTTGATTAATGCAAGCATTACAAGGTTAGATTAAATGCACATTTGCATCACTAATCTACTGGTTTTAAAAATATCCTTAAGCATAATAATGGAGTTTTTATTAGTGCTTAAGTTGATATACCATTTTTCACATAAACTTGTTTTTCACAAATTTTGCAAATAAATTGCAATAAAATGTGAAAGCTTGTTGTGAACTTGTAATTTTAAGTTCCTATAATGTTAAAGTTCTAATCTTTAAAGGTTTAAATGATTGGAACCCTAACCCTAAATTCCATATTGAACAAAGTTTGGATTTTTCATGTTTGGTTGATTAAAATCCATCAAGTTCAAATACTTGTGAGTAAAATTTGATTAATCTTCATATTGGAAGATGTAATCTTGGTATTTTACACAAGTATGAAAGTTGGAAAATTTTTCATTAGATGATTAGTTTATTTTTCCATCTCCCATTTGTCAAATCCATTATTAATTTGCATATTGGCAAGATTAATTATGGACATAGCTCATTTTATTTTAAGCATAAAGAAAGACCTAATTTTGTTCAAAATAAATTTTTTTTGGATAATTTAGGCTTGTGCACCAATAAAAATAAGTTTATTTAAGTTTTACTTTATTTTATTTTTCCTTAAATCAATTCTAAAATGTAATTTAGAATTAATTTTGTCATACACAAATTGGAATTTTTGGATAATTTAGGCTTGTGTACCAATAAAAATAAGTTTATTTAAGTTTTACTTTATTTTATTTTTCCTCAAATCAATTCTAAAATGTAATTTAGAATTAATTTTGTCACACACAAATTAGAATTAAATTCCGAGAAATGACACGCAAATCAAGGCAAAAACACCCAAGCGCTACCAAGGCTAGCCGGGCTGCCTAGCAGCCCACATGTGGCTGCCTATGGTGCGCACAGGGGTGTGCCATGGTGATGCTGTGCACTTTTGTGTGGCGGGGAGGCTTGGGGCTGATGTGCATGGAGCAGTGGCAGGGGGCTGGCTTGCGAGGGGATGCTGCTGGGCAGCATGGCAGCAAGCACCAGCCCAGCGCACCACTTGCTTGTAGGCGCCAGCTTGCTAGCCAGCATGCGTAGCATGCCTGGCAGGCTGCTGGTGCTAGCAGCGTGGCTTGCTGTGCTGGGCGCAGCATGCTAGCATCACGCACCACAGCACAAGGCATAGGCTGCCTAGTAGCCATGGTGCGCACCCACTAAGCACTTGTGTGGGATTTTTGCTTGATTTTGAGCTATACAATTTTGCGAAAATTTTGCCGTTTTTTATTATTTACGTAATTATTTTAACGAGGTTAGACCTCGGTTTTTTCGGCTTTTGCAAAATTTTTGATTTTGACAAATGATGGGTTATGCCGACTTAATTAATCGGATTAATTAAGTATGGGTGCGGAATTTAGTGGGAGCTTAATTAATTGCGTGAGCATTTTGCTTTTAGAAATAATGGATTAAACAACTTTGACTAGTTTTAATTAGGCGCGTTAATCGGATTAACCACCTAAGTTAGTTACTAGTTTTGTATGTTTAATTATGTATTTCTTAAAATTGCATGGGCCATTCACAAATAGTGAATGGGTGAATGGAAGATTGTTTTTAAAATAGGTTATTGAAAATGGCAACTAGTGGGGCCCGACTAGGATAGAAAATACGGACTGCGTTCCGTTATGTATTTTTGTAAATCTAAATACGGTCTGCGAACCGTTAAGTATTTTTGTACTATTAGATTAATCTTAGTCGTTCTAGCTAGTTTATTTTATTTTGGCCAAGATGTCTTAAGACGGCGTTTCGATGAAGACGAGCCAAGATGAAGACCCATGGAAATTGAAGATTTCATGAGGTCATGCTAGTTGCCAAATGCATCTATTTTTATACTTTATATATTTTGTTATTATATATGATTGCTAGATGCATGTCTAGGATTTCTATATGTTGCGACGATTAGTTAAGTTCACTTAAATCAACCAACATAGAAACCCTAGGTCCCTTAATAATATTGAGCTAAAATTTGTCGTTCCAAGAACAACACTTACCGAACTAATGCGCGTACGTGATGGACTACGCCAAAGCGATACATCACTACTTCCCTAGGAACGTAAGGTATACTAGGTATACAAGTTGTCTTGGTTAAGCTCAACGATATCAGTAAGGAGTCCTTAGATGTCGTGGCAAAAGAGATAAAATGTCAAGGATGCATTAGATGCGACATTTTATCAAACCGAGAGTAGCTTGGAGCCATTAGCAATTGGATTGCTTACCTTAAAATATTTAATGATTAAGACAAGCCAAAGCATGCTTAACTATTTCTTGATCTTTGGGATCTCGAACCATTTTATTCTCGCCTAAAAGGGACAATTTTAAATGTGTGGATAAAATGCTCAATAAGATTGAATATATGCATGAACGCTTTTTAATTTCAACTTATTGGTTATATGAATGGTTTTTCATTTCAAATTCTTTCAATTGTAGAATAATGTCTGCAAGTAACTCAAATAACAACCATGTGTGCCCGGAACTCCCCAAAAAGTTAGCTATCAAGCTTAACTTAACAAACCTTGAAGAATGGGAAGAAGAACTCAGGAGAACTCTCCGGAGTTGTTCCAAGGAGTATGTTCTGGATACTTCCCTCCCAACCCTCTGTACCAAGAAACACTTGAGTGACGAAACTTATTGTGCATGGTCAAAAGATTGCAAATTAGTGTCACAACTCATGGCTAACTCCATCCCGGAAGAATGGAAAGAAAAACTTCCATTCTTTTTTCCGGACTTGTTCCTTGGAGGACTAAGGGATGTTGTCGGTGTGAGATTCTCTAAGAGTTTCAATGACAACAATGATGGACTCTTGTTTGAAGTGACTAGGTCACTTACAGACATGAATGTGAAGCCATTGGATCAAGGTTGTCTTGTGA